AGGCTCTACTTTATCTCCCTATCAGCACTGATCCACAACTCCCTTGACCTTCAGTACTCATTGTGTATCCTTTGCTCCATGCTCTGTAGTTATTGCTGATTATTAAATAACCAGCAGGGAGCTAGATGGGCAAAAATCCACCCTGCTCAGTAGCTCATGGTCAAACTCATCATCCAGGGACTCAGTCACCAGTGAAAATTTTTATCTCATTATAAAGGTTTAGTCTGATGTGGTTCCAGCAGCTCCACCAGCCTAGCCTCTCCAGCCATCTCAGGGGGATTTGTGAGTTCTTTTGCAGCTGATTGGTGAAAGGTGCCAGCTAGGTCCAGATCAGATGGTCCGGTAACTGGGTAGGCACCGTAGGACAGCCCAAATCAGCTCCATCAGTGCTAACCAAAGGGATGCTGGACATCAAGGCTGTGTGCTCTGCCCTCTTTGCAGAAGTGCCCAAGATACTATAGTAACATTGCTCTCCTCACACCCTTTGCCTTCCTGGCCCATTTCTGCCAGCCCCACATCGTGAAGGCAGCCTGCAGAGCCATTAGTTGGCACAGGCAGCCCAATGGATGCTCCTTGTGGTGCTCGTTCCTCCTGCTCCACATCTTCAGGGCAGCCATGAAGCATTGGCAGCAGCCAGCTGACCAAACACAACCCACACACCTCCCAGCCAGGTTGCCAACTGAGCAATAGGCCAAGTGGCCAGCCAGGCAAACAGCCTGTACTGCTTCCCCTCCTAATGGGAAGCCAGGTAATCACAGTGCTGCCTAGGAAGAGCTAGAAGTAGTGTGCAAGAAAGGGAAGGAGATGTGGCTCATAGGTCTTCCAGGGCCATGTGGTCCCTGGAGGTGGGTGCTTCTGCTCAGGCATGCCAATTTGTCATGACAGAGAATGGATCACTCTTGTTCTGACCACAGCCAAATCCTTCCCTAAGAAGGACTAAGCTGACAGACTGCAGTCTTCTGCCTCGAGAAGAACAACTTTTAAATCTGTCCTGAACTTTAGCATAGACCCAGCAGGCTTGGCATAACAATGTACACTTAGTGTCATGAAACTGGCCAAGCGGGTGAAAAAGCTAACGCTGTTCAGTGCCTGCCAGGGGAGTTCTCCTAGGTAACAGCTTAAATCCTGCCTTTGCTTTACTAGGAGCATTACTGCATTCTTCAAAATTTAAAGTTGTTGACTGGTGCGGCTCTAACAACTTACCAGGCTGTGGGCCAAATGATGCACTATGTCAACAGTGGTGTGGTAGAGAAAGCAGAATGGCACTGTGGAAATGACAAATGCCAGCTAGAGGGTATTACTCCTTCTTCCTCTTCCTCCCAGCCCAAAGAACCAGAGGCACCATCTTAAATTATGCTACAGAGGTGCAGCTCAGGGGACAACCAAACAGGGGAGCTGAAAAAATGTGCTAGGACAGCACTCAAACAACCACAACACCTGAGTCCGGGAAAGTGTAAGAGATACGCAGCTGTTATCATCGGCTCTTTGGAAAACAATGTCTTGCCATGCTAACAAAAGCACAGTGCCATGCAGAGAGCTGCCGTGTTGACAATTAAATGTCTAAGCAACACTTCCTGTAGAAGCAGGACATGGGACACTGATTGTCCACATCATTTCACCTGAGGCAAGCAAAGTCCCTCATCATATGTCTTGAGCTGACTTACAGCATGGGGACGCTGCTAATCCCTGGCCTCAAGTTGTTGGAAGGTTTTCCCTTAGCACCTGTCCTGACATACACAGCACATGCTGGTTACTGATCATCTCAAGATTTCCTACCCCACAGCTCACCTCAAACCTCTGTTGTCTATCTTGTCCATTCAGAACAGGCCTGTAGAAAATCTGGCCTCTCTCTGTCCGTGTTTCTGGTTATTTATTGTCAGCCTGCCCTTTTAGAGCACTTCTTATTACCCTTGAACTTCAACACAAATGTAACACATTTGTCTCCAGCATTCACTTTTATGGCTACCATTTTATTTACAAGTAAAATGACAACTGGGTGAAAAGCCACCAGTTCAGCAAGGGCATGACTCCAAGTAGGTCCAGACCTGCAGGTGAATACAAATTTTCAAGGATTCTTTGCATTTAAAGGTTGTACTTCCAACCATTTCCTCGGAGCGGGGTCACCTTACCCCAGCTGAGAGTCTTTGCATTCACTATTTCTAGGGAAATGCCAAAGAAACTTAGTGCTGCAGACAATGCTGGAAGAATAGCAAAAGGGTATTTGCAGCCCTGGAACAGTCTGAGAATAGAGAATAAAAGGTGATGCCTTTTAACATAAAAGTGTAGTTTCTTGAGCAGTCTTCTACTAGCAGTATGCGATAGCGATGAACAGACCCACTCTCCAGCTGAAGCTTTAGCAGGCCTCCAGACAAGCATGGTAAGAGCAGACTTTTAGCCAGCATGACATGCCCAATGGCTTTTATGCCTGTGGTAGCAGGTGTCTGAATGTCAGCATTCTCATGCCATCTTATGTGGAAATATCCAGGCTGCCAACCTCAGAATCTAAACCTAGAAGTGAATGCGAAGAACTCCTAAAACATCTTCCACTGCTGAAACTAGAAGCCGTTGTTAGAAACTGCCACTTCCAACATGTCATGCCCAAGCACTTACAAAATTTCTCATTACCACTTCAGAAATAGATCATGATGCACCTGATAGGAGACCGTATACCACACTAGCTAACATCAACAGGGAGAGTAATGTTCACCCAGTAAACCCACACCTAAGCTTCTAAGAGGAGATAGAAACAATGGGCTTATCAAAGCCTGCTTAGTCAAACATCCTCCCCAAGGAACATGAAGGAGAAGCTGTCTGAGCCTACAGAGTCTCTCCATGGGGCTCGTACAACTATATGGGCAATTCTACCAAGATGGCTTCTGCTGAGCTGCAACCTTCAGTCTTTGTATGACACTCGGTATCTGCTAGTTATGTGTGGGTCCTTGCAAGGGAGACAGTTAATCTTCCTTACCATGCAACTAGTAGGTGCTGAGCGTCGACAAAGACTGCACAGTTTCTTAGAAAAAGTGTCAGACTGAGGGGCTTCAAGTAACTCTTTTTCTTTAAGCCCTATAGCTTGTGAATAAGGTGCTTCAGTCTTCCTACTTTGTGCTCTAGTTTACCCACCAGTGAAGAGAAAAAACATGGTGCCAATGCTGAATTAAACTGCATATTTCAATGGAGTCTACAAAGATCCAAAGTAAAACTGCCTCGAATAACCTCAGATATGGAGGTTTATAGTGTGAGCTCCCCAGAGAGGTTGATAGTATGTAGAAGTTGCATGTGAAAACTGCAGTTGAAAGGAGAGTTGCTTTAACAGTGATTCTACCTGAGGAGTGCCATGCGCCACACCTAAATATTTCTGTATTCTGTTGATTTTTCTCTTAGAGAAGAGAAATCCAGCTTTCTTAAGTGGGGACCTTCCCACACTGCACCCGAACTGGCACATGCTGGGTTTTGTTTGTTTTCAGTGAGCAACATATCACAACAGATAAGCAACCGATGCATCACATGAGTTCATATCAGCCAAACACTTCAAATCTCCCTTAGACTGTAATATAAATCTTATCATCTGTACCTAAGGTTCTGCCTTTACGATCATTAATTAATGAACAGGCCACAAGCCAGCTGAGGGAAAAGTTACTCGTTTCACTAAGTTTCAGAAAAATTTTCCCACAGTCAGGTCATTCCTAGACAGTGGGTCTTGTAAGATTTTTCATGTACTCTTCTGTCTAAAAGATCTAAATATCTTCATTGGGGCTGTGCAGTTTCACTTCAGCCAAGGATCTTCATGTCTCTGTTGCTATGAAAGCAACACATCCGGACAGTGAGTACCAGGTAAAAAATGTAATTTTTTCAGTAAAAGGATTCTACTAACAGAAAATGTGTGGGTTTCAATTGGTCATAGACTACTTCAGGCTAGCAACTAAAGCAGTGTCCAAACATTACAAGAAACTTATCTTAGAGATGTACAAGTTAGAGAGAAACACCCCAAAAGTTCGGCAGCCCCTATGTAGTAACACCTCAGACTACCAGGTTCAGTAGCTGATGACACAGGAGGGAGCCATTTGACCCTCATGACATCCAGGCATCCAAATGGGAAATGATTTCAGCACGTCTGAGGATCCTCCTCTTTGCAATATACCTGGAAATGTCCTAAATGTGGCAGGCTTCTTATCAAAGTCTTCCAGCCCCAACTCCATAATTCCTTCCAAGCCATTCCAGGCTGCCTGCACCCCAATTGTTTTGTACAGGATGTGATGCGGGGCCTTCTTCAGCGACCATGAGGTGCCATGTGGGCAGGAGAAGGAGAACTCATCCAGATTGTGTTGGTGAAAATGATCCTATTATCATCCCTTTATATAACGGTTAGATGTACTCTCAATCTTGCTACAACTCACTTTCTTACTATGCTGCTTTCCCACTCTTTGTCTTATCTATTGAGAGTGTTAATTCTTCTGGGCAACAATTTTGTCTCCTGGCTTATCTATAGTAGGACCCCTAGGAGAAGAAGGGCATGCTCCCTTTTGCGCCGATTAGGTTATACCCCTTCACTTGATTATAATCCAGCTGTGTTGTGTGATGTTACAGCTGCTAAGAGCGTGAATAGCACTGTTTTTTACAGCTAAAGATGTCTGGATCTGTACAGCACACGTACTGGGCAGAGATGGCCCATTTATTCCTCATTTTACATGGGCTTCCAGACCCAAAAAGGGCCAAGAGCAGAACGGGGCATGATTTGAGCTGGAGCCTGGCTAGCTCTTGCCCCCTCTTATAGCTTCATCCACCTGGACGTAGATGTAAGTAATGGAGCTGGAGCCCTGTGCTAACTGCAAGCACTTTCATTTGCTGCTGGGATGTATTGAACTGTGGAACTCGTAGTAAATATTTACAGAGCTCCTGTGTACAGAGCACCAGGTTATTTCTTAATAAGCTGCTTCCATCTACAGGTTGCTGGAAGTGGATAAAAGGACAAATGGGAGCAGCAGGAAATTAGGCTCTGGGCCAAAGTGACGTATTGCTTGCCAAAACGTTTCTCATGCCTTAAATTTCTGCTAGACTGCACTGCCTGCAGCAGTTTAGCAGGGACAGCTGTAGTAGAGGAAAAGAGAGAGTTCTTTTCATCTGCACCTGAGATCTTCATCAGACCCTGACCTGGAAGGAGCAGAAGAAGACGCAGGGAAGAGAAGGTGGTGTCAGACAACCAGGACACAGAGGCAGCATGGCATCTCTGCTGGACAACATAGCCAAACCTTCTGCTGTAGTTTTGCAGCTATCTTTGGTGCTTGGCTTCATTTTTGTGCTAGTGAAGGTTTCCCAGTTCTACCAGGAGAAGAAGAAAATCTTCAAAGCTCTGGAGGCTTTCCCTGGTCCCCCAAAGCACTGGCTATACGGCCACAGTCATCTGGTAAGGAGAGAACGGGGCTCACCCAAGGCATGGGCAAGGAGGGTTTGTCATAACAACTGGGCAAGATAATTGTCCTGACAAGAGGGGTGGAGAAGAGCACCAGATGGGGAGTGTGTGTCCCCTGCTATTGCCCCTTCCTACAGGAGAGGACCTCTTAGCACAGGGAGTGCCAAGACTTCTGTGGGGCAGGCAGGAAGGGTGCCTGGTTGCGAGATATACATCATTTTGGCAAAAAACAGAGCCATGATGTTCTTGATCATGTGCTTAAATATGCAATTAGGTGATTTCTGAGACTTCACAAAGTTACTTAAAAATGAGCAACCATAAAATCTCTCACTTCTGCATCCGATCTTCTACCAGTACAAGTGTTTCCCCCTATACCCACTTAAGAGGGGATGGTCATGAAAGCAGGACATTTTATTGCAGCCATTTTTGCCATTCTATAGGGTACGTGTTTTTGACTTCACACTGCTGAAATTGGACCATAGGGCTCTATCAGCCCTGGTCCCCCTGGAGATTAGGCAGTAGGTATACCCGAACTGCCGATGATGACTGTAGAGCCAGAGTGTGATGCCAAGGCACTCTGACACCAGATTATGCTAATGTAACTAAACTGCCAGACCCCGGCTAGACAATCTCCCTGGAGTTACCTTGTGCTGCAGGGACACAGCAGCTCAGGTAGCTTCGCTGGCTGTGCACTGTCTCCAGTGATCCCCTTTGCCATGCCCAGCATTTCCTCCACCGACAGAGTGGAAAGCCCCTCTCTGTAAGTCCACCTACTTGCTCCCAGTTTCCCAGGCAAGGATGTCTTGCATATGCTTTCCATGACAGGGCAAGTTTCACCTCTGCTGTCCCAGGCACATCCCTCTTTTTCCGCCTGAATTCAGCCCGTGTTTAACTGTTATTGCAGATCGTTTTAGGTAAAGACTTACCTCTGTTTGTGTCATGGGCGGAAGAGTATCCCTATGCCTTCCCCAGATGGTTCGGACCACTTCTGCCTACTCTAGTAGTCCACCACCCTGAATACGCCAAAAGTATATTTGGCCGAGGGGGTAAGTTTCTTCATTTGGTTTGGGGAAGGCCTGTCATTGACACTTCCCTATCAAGAAAAACAAAGGAAACCTGCCTTGAGTTGTCCCTTCTGCCTGCTTCTTTCACAGCTATTGCATTGCTCCCTTTTGTCCCTTTCTCAAACCCCTTGACAGGTTTCATGGAGCAGCTTATATTCTCATGCAAGATAGGAGGCAGTGATCCTCCGAGTCCACCGTCTCTATCATTGTCAGGCTTACTGTATTCTAGAGCATCTACCACCCCAATATCTGTGTTTCCCACTAAAATCCATTAAACTGGGTGAGCTGGCACAGCAATGGCCCTGAGAATACATCTCAAGTTTTCTCCTCTGCTCCAGTCTGTGAAGCACAATGTCTGTGATTGGTACATACATGGGTATCTCCAGTAATTCTCATCTATTATCCTCAACTTTGAGATGTGCTATGGTCATTTCTGTTCCACATACATATCTTTCATTACAGCTTTCTCTGGTTTTCTCAAGTCCTGGGCAGAGTTGTAAAAGACCATGTTTAAACTCTACCTCTAATGTTATAGAGTGTTTTACATTTTGAGCTGATATTAATTCTACATTGTGATTAAAAGGAGGGTTTCTAATGTCAGTTCATCCTGATTTTTGTTGTTGTTGTTATGTTGATATTCATTAGCCATTCATACTCTTTTGGTAACTTTTTTTTTTTTTTTTTAATAGATCCCAAGTCCCAATTAACCTATAAGTTCTTAATTCCCTGGATAGGTAAGTAATTTTCTTTCATTATCCCTTTTGGCTGTGCTACACATTTCATCTGCTTCCCTCAGGTCTTCATTTATGTTGCTTTCTTCCGTTCTAAAGCTAAAGAGAAAGGTTGCCTTTGCTATGGAAAGGTTCATAAGTGTGGAGCACATACCCTGGCCTTTGCAAAGCAATGGGGGCCAGTCTGCTGAGGGACTAAATACAGCTACGTATAACTGGGGTGAGAGATACTGAGGCACTAGAGGATAATCAGGTTCATGGCTTGCGCACAACTTTGTGGTAGCCCTCCATGGGCCTGCTAGCAACTGTCTCATAGCTCAGCTTGTGCTGCAAAATGCATCCAAGTATTTAACTTAGGGCAGAAAAAAACGATCTGAGAGAGTAAATTCTGTGCTTCTGTCATCATGGCAGATGGTTTATTGGTAAATTGGATGTGCACAGCTGGCTGCAGTGGAGGATGAGTGGACATGCTTCTCCTCCATCCAAAGGGCGCTGCTGCAATGGCTGCAGAGAGGCTGAAGTAAAGGCTTCTGGGACAAGTGCTATCTACAGGAGGGCCAGGGCAGTGAGCAGAAAAAGCTCCGTCTGTTTCATTCCCCTGTGCTTGAGAAAGCCACACTGTTGTGTGATATTTTGAATAAACAGGCTAGAACCTGCAATATATGGCTCCACTGCCAGCTCCTCCTCCCCCCAGGTCCTGTGTGTTAGCTGGGAGATAGCCACTTGGCCAGAAGCAGCAGTGACTCTGTCAAAGTCGAGGTGAGTGATCAGATTCTGAAATAGCTGATCGTGTCTTTGCTACTTGTGTCTCTAGGAAAGGGGCTATTGACCTTGAATGGAGCAAAATGGTTTCAGCATCGGAAGCTGCTCACACCAGCATTTCATTACGATGTGCTGAAACCTTACGTGGCCCTGATGTCCGATTCAGTCAAAGTGATGTTGGTAAGAATCATAATCACTGCAACTTTTAACTTTGAGTCATGCACCAGCCAAAATAATTAGGCCTGGGACTGAATGATGGAAAGTGAGTGGAATTAGATAGTTCCTAGAATTTATCTCCTGATTCCAAAATTTTTAGATCCTTTCAAAGTTCTGAAGTTGCTCCCTCCAACTTCTTTTGGCCATTCCACTCATTTTCTTTTTCATCTGCTTTCCAGTAAGATGAACCACTGCTAGGGTATCTTTTCCTAGCTCAGCAGTGGTAAATATGGAAAAAGAAATGCACAGAATACTTTGATTAGATTCACAGACTATATAGTGAACGAGGGTGTTTACTTACAGAAGAGAAAGTAATTAGGAGCATGGATCTGGGAAGAGGCAGGTACAGGAAAGTATGACCTGATCGTACTGTGGCCAAGTCCATTCTGGCAGTCTGTCCCTCCTTACTCTCGTCTCCACCACTAGGATAAATGGGAGAAGAGGAACACACAGACAAAGACAGTGGAGCTCTTTCAAGACGTCAGCTTGATGACACTAGACACCATCATGAAATGTGCCTTCAGTTATGATACCAACTGTCAGATTCAGAAGTCAGTAGCTGAAATTTAAATTCTGAGAAAATAAGTGCTCCCGTTTCCCCCGCTCACATTGCTAACGCTGATTTCAATCTTGATTTCCTTTCAGCAACTCAGACTTTTACATCAAAGCTGTTTATGACCTGAGCTACCTTGTGAGTCAGAGAATCCGGATTCTCTCTTTAAGCGATGTCTTCTATGGCATGACTCTCAAAGGCCATCAGTTTCAGGAGGCCTGCAAGCTGGCCCATACCCACACAGGTATTTCTCTCCTTTTCTCTCCCTAGCCCCGTTTCTTGGATGAACCTCTCACCCACTTACATCTGGAGCAGCTCAGAGGGGGTTTGCAGCATGCACTGACCAGAGGATTACACATTAAACAGAGACTGAGCTGCTGACCAAGTGATCAAGAGCATGACCTCTCCGGAGGGGCAGGGTGCATCTAACAGACTGGTCATTCTTCTACACAGATAAAGTAATAAAAGAAAGAAAGATGTTGCTCTGCAATGAGAATGAACGTGAGAAGATCCAGAAAAAGAGACACCTGGATTTTCTGGACATTCTACTTTGTGCCAAGGTGAGTGAAATAATCATATCAAATGCCAAGGAACATACCTGTGTGCCACTGAGGATGTGTCAGCAGGGAACTCACAATCCCTGGCCAGCATTAATGACAACATCTTCCCCGCTTCATATTTCCTAGTTTGGGGAAAGGTGGGTTGAAAGGGAAGGAAATACAAACATGTGAGATGCAGTGATTGAATATAAATGGAGTTTCATCTTCCTTGTTCTTTTTTGTTGAATATATAAATAGATTAAAAGAAGTGAGCTGTTGGGAACCAGAGGAGAATAAGAGCTTTGGAAAGATTACAAAGAGGCTGTCTTTTCTGTAGTCATCTCAAGAGATTTGTTTCTTGCCTTCTGTAGCTTTACCTTCTCAGGTATCTTCAGATACTCCTGGTGTTCAGGAGAGAGATATACTCTGTGCCCACTCTAGCTTTCCTGGAGCTAATGCCTTCTTTTGTGTCTCAATCTGAAACAAAAGTAATCCGAGTCAAAATACTGAAAAACGTAACAAGAATCCTTGGTAGGGGAACAAACAGCATGCCCCTCTGAAGGGCTGGGATCTGATGTGCCATCACAGCTCAGCTCTGTAGCTCTGTTGACTGCAGAGTCACTGATTTCATTCATGTTGGATATATCTTCTATTGGCTTAGTTCCTGGTGTATGTGGAGATACAAGAGAGGTCAAATTAGATTCCTTTCCACCAGCATCCGGGGTGATTTTTACACATAAAGGAGCAAGTCTAATTCATGTACACTTGCAGATAATATATTGTCCTCTCTATTAGGATGAGAATGGAGCTGGACTGTCTGATGAGGACCTCCGTGCTGAGGTGGACACATTCATGTTTGAGGGCCACGATACTACAGCCAGCGGGATCTCCTGGCTCTTTTACTGTCTGTCATTACACCCAGAGCACCAGCAACGGTGCAGGGAGGAGATCCAGGAGATCTTGGGAGACCGAGATACCATTGAGTGGTGAGCTATAACTTTTTGGTCCTTTACTTTGAACTCTTTTTATTTATTTTGAGAAGGAAAATGCACCCACTTTGTACTGTATCTGCACTAGGGCATTCTGCTTTTCACATAGCAATTCTGGGCAGCAAAGGGAAGAGTAGGACAGTGCAGTTGCTCTTCAAGAAAGAGCAGCCACCCATGACTCCAGTTTGCACATGCTCCCATTGCTGCCACTCAAACACAGTGTTACCCTCTGGCTTGCTTTCAGGGAGGACCTTGGGAAGATGACATACACCACAATGTGCATCAAAGAGAGCCTGCGCCTGTTCCCACCGGTTCCTGCTGTGTCCCGACAGCTCACCAAACCCATCACATTTTCTGATGGACGCAGTTTACCAGCAGGTCTGTTTAGTTTGTTCATCTGTCACGCTGCTGCCTGTCACAAATGGGGCACCCTCACTAGAGTTACTGTGTTGAGGGGCTGGTGGTGCTTGTAGCCTCTCTTCTATCTCTGAAGGGCTATATAGGGCCACCACAGCTCACAGTTCACAGTGAGGCTGGAAGTGTGGCCAGAGAGGGTCCAAGGACCCTTTCCAGAGCACTGCAGTAGAATGGATACCCCAGGACAGCGGGACCCAAGCCTTGGTCCTGCCATTTCTATAGCCACAGCGAATGTGATGGGACGAGCCAGACAGAGCCTGCTCAAACTCCTCTGAACCCAGCAGAAACACTCCCATGTCTTCAGAGACAGAGAAGGAACAGAGATCCCCGGAACCAAGGCCAGGATGTCACGCATGGACAGCCTGGGTTACCGCACCAGGCCTCCCTCTTCCATCCTCTGCCCGCCTTGCACGTCAATGTACTACTTCATCAAATTCTCTAGTTACTTCTTTCTTTTTCCCTTAGTTGTTCATGCTTTACTGTTCAGCCCAGTTTATTTGCCACTCACAGAGCTCAAAAGGCACTTGCAGAGTGCTGATCCTGGCCAAATGTGAAAGTTCACCCACTGGTACCAAAATGGGTTCTTGCTTTGAGGTCACTATTTCTTCCACGTGAGGAAGTGGCCTGCCTAGACAAACTGGGAAATGCACCTGTCAATTCTGCTGTGAAATCTCTTGCAAAGCCCAGGGACAGCGGGCATCCCACAAAAGTTTCTCCTGTGTCTCTACTCTGATATTTCACAAACTCCTTTCCGACTCTTTTCCAGGCTGCCCAGTTGCAGTGAACATATTTGCTGTTCACAGGAACCGGGATGTGTGGGAAGACCCTGAGGTATTTTACCTTTATAAAAAGAAGAGAAAGATGAGCTCTTAGCTCAGATATCTACTCTCTTTGAGTAAGACAGTCTTGGCCTCTTTGTCTTGTGATTTTTTTTTTTTTTGCTTCTTATTCCAACAGTCCCTGTCTAAATGCAAAGATCAATAGAGCTACCAAATACCTCAAAGGATTTGAACATGACAAAGTGCTGGAAAAGGGTGTTTAATACTCTATCTTCACGCATGATGATGTAGGAGTATTCAGACTGCCTTCAGCAGCCCTGCATAATGATGGTGCAGAGGGCATGAGAGAGAGCAAACAGATTAATGGGGACAGTCCACAGCCACCTGCCGCATCCCTGACCTCATCCTGGGATAAATCCTCCCAGCAGCAGCCACCAGTTCTCTCTTCTCATTCAACTGGTGGCTTTACAGAGGGGTGAATGTCAGCTGCAGCTCCCCATGAGCAGCAGAGGTCACATCCAGCCCTGTCCTGGGGACTACGGGAGAACTTGGTGCTGCTCATGTTGGAGCCGTCCCTGAACAAGAAGTCTTTGTTCTTCCCACAGATGTATGACCCAATGAGGTTTTCTCCAGAGAACTCAGCACAGAGGCACTCGCACGCTTTCCTGCCTTTCTCTGCTGGATCCAGGTGTGAGATCCTTCATTCTCTATCTCCCCCACCATCGGTTCCCTCACATGAGAGAGTTAACTCAGAGCAGTGCTTCTGAAGCTAACCCCCCCTCAGCACCAATGAGGCAAGCACCAACTCAAGCAGAGTTTCCGTAACAGGGGATCTCCACCACTTACCATCAGCTCAAGAGAGTTTCCCACACCTGAGGCTCTGTGGTCATTGTAGGGCTTGACACACTTTCATTTTTGCAAGATCTGTGAAGATAGATACATTCTCTGCTTCCCATATTGGGAACATAGGCTCCCTTGTCTAGAGGTAAATACCCAGTGCCCCTCAGAGAAAACCTGGTTCACTGAGACTCTTTGGTTCCCATGCTGTCTCCTCTGATATACGCAGGATTCTGATGTCTCAATAACTTGCACAGAGCAAAAATGGCCTTTTTGAGGTGACTGTTTTGTGGGCTGGACACCTACAGCACTTTCTGATGAAGAAAGCACCAGTTCTCTAAACTTCATGTCTTTTTTTGGTGCTTATTAACAAGCAACAACAATATGCCACCCCAGGACCAGGTGCATTTTTAGTGTGGCATGAAAGGATTCCTAGATAAGCTTTGTCACTGTTACCTGTCTTCCAGCAGCAGCTGGAGATCCCACAGTAGCACAAAAGCCTTGCCTCAAGAAGCTAGTGTTGGTTAGTGCAGTGGCTGTGCTGAGCTTGGGAGTGGTCGGGGATGAAGGCTGCAAACTGAGCCTTTGCTGTCCTCTCCCCAGGAACTGCATTGGGCAGCAGTTTGCCATGAACGAGATGAAGGTGGCTCTTGCCCTGACCCTGCTTCGCTTCGAACTCTCACCTAACTCGTCCAGGCCTCCCATACTGGTACCACAGCTCGTCCTAAAGTCTAGCAATGGGATTCACCTGCATTTAAAGAAGATTTGCTGACCTGGGGTATCATGGGGGCAAGTGGTTTCCCAAGGATCATCCTTTATCCAGGAGTTTAAGCATCTCCCTCTCCTGGCTGAGCCACACTGCCCTGCACTATGATGGTGACAACCCTGTAGCCTTCTTGATCTCTCAGTCCGGTGAGGGGGACATCCAACAGACCTGTCCAGGATATCTCAGACCTAGGTCTGGATCCACTTTGCATGGAGAACTTCTTCCTGAAATCACATCACGCGCACACATATCCACCAAATTAAATGCCACCAAATTAATTGGAGAAATCTTTCCTACTAAACAATTCTGGACTGGTTCTGTGCCTGGCATTATGGAAATTAAAGCCAGTGGCTGTTTCTGACACAATGCTGAACTTCCTTAAGTTGAGGGTGCTCAGGGATCAGCTCAGAAGACTGTTATTAGAAAGACTAAAGAAAGAAAACACTCACCACTCTCAACAGTAAGTGTGATCAGCCTTATCTTCCTCTTCTGTCTGAAATGAGAATAAATTTGGTGTTCCCAGAGCATGGTTTCCTTTGTATTTGTGGGACAGGTAGTACAGGATGAGGCCTGGCAGCCCGAAGATAAGGCTATGCCCTCTTTGCTCAGTTGCTGGTCCAAAGCCTGGCGGAGGAGGTGGGAAGGAGACAAAGCAGACAGCATTGTGAGGGTGCAGTTCTTTGAGTATTTTCTTAAGCTTCAAAGACTGTCTAAGATGTTCCTGCTCTCTTTTGCCCCCGAGGAGCCCATTTCCACCCCTCCCATCTCATGGCTTACTAAGCGTGCAGTTCAGTCCCACTGTGAGTTTGTGTGATAAAGTATATTACTGAGATGATCTGGGTTAAAACAAAGCAGAACAAAAATCACTCCCAGATAGTAATGGCAACAACAAAATCAACTCACAAAAAACACCCAAGCGGGAGCAAGCATTCTTTTCAAACCCTATTCTTCATAAGCTGAGAACTGACAGCTCAATACAGGAATGAAAGGCAAAAAGTAGGCCTTGTGTCAGAGAAAGGTGCTGCTGTACATGAAGACATTACAATTACAGAGAGATTAAGGTTAAGTATATTCCTACTGGATTTGGTGACGAAACCCAGAGGCAGGAAGGGGTGCCTTCAGGGGTTTCAAAGCTGAAGCCACCAGAGAGGCCAAGGTGGGAGCTCCGACTGCGTGGGGGAATGTGGGGCCTGGGGAGGGCTCGTCCTGGAACGGGCTCACTTTGGCGGTAGGGACACCTGCAGCCAGGCCCTCCAGGCCTGCAGGGGGAAAGGCTCCAGCGTAAGGTGTGCATAAAGTCTCCGAGAGATCGATCGAAAATACATCACTAGGTGGCAGTGAGAGATTCAGAAAAACCCAAAGCTCTTCCATCCTCTCTGAGCTGTGCTCGGGGAAGCCCTTTATTGCTATTGCTACACCAAGGGAAGAAAGAAACCAAACTGCCAGGGCTAGAAACACGGCAGGATACTGCTCTAGCAAAGGTGGGCTTGATTTTGTAATGGAAAAAGAGGAAATCGTTGTAAATAGCAAATTATATGTTATCTGGTCATTGATGAGCTCCAGTCAGGATCCAGCACTCCCCAAGGCCAGCCACCTTTCAACACAAGTTTGCATTTCCATCACTGATCAATGCTCTCTCTCTGAGCCTGATGCCCTGGGCTGGCCAGAGGGTACCTTGCCACAGAAGGCTTTGTGCCCTCCCAGACTGCTTTTCATGTGCTGTAGAGATTTGAGCTGCACCTGGGTTGGGGGCACTGGAACTGTTCTGTCCCCCTGGGTCCAAGCACAAGTCTTGCTCCCATCCCAGTTGGGTTGAAGAGCACATTTGCTCTCTCCACATCTCACTTCCATGTGCTTACGTGCCATAGCAACCCTCAGCAGAGGACCAGGGCAGCTATGAGCTGTGTCCCAGCAGGGCTGCCAGGGGCCTCCTGGCCCATCTCCATCCTCAGTTGTGTGGGGAAGTAGAGCAGACCTAGCTGCTATCGCAGTCCCCAACATCATTATAGTGTCCACTACCCATTGCAAAGGCTGAAGCACCAATCCTTAGGGAGCACTGACCACTGCAGGTACCAGAGTATTCAGCATACCTCTGGGGAAACTGAGGCACTGAGGTCTGCACACATACCTATAATGCCACAGTGGGAGAATAAGGATAGAAGGAGGCTATTTGCCTAGCCCTCACCTCTAGCAATAGCATCATCCAGTATTACTAGAGCCACTCACACGGTCAAATTCCTGCCAGGCACTGCCTTTCTTCATTAACTTCAATAGGAAGGTTGATGTATCTTCATCACAAGAAGGAGAAACTGAGGCACAGAGAGAAGACACAGCTTACCCAAAGCCACCTTGCACAAGCACGGCTGATTCTCAGCTGGCATTTGAATGCCCAATATTGGATATGACCAAGCAGAAGGTCCTGACTCCAGACCATGTATATCTCTCTCAAAGGAGGCTGGGGAGCTCCTCTCTGCTTGTGGCCAGATTAAGACAGCCAAGTCTGAGTGGCACCACATCTGAATAGACCTTGCCAGCCCCCAGGGGTCTGCCCCTTCTCCTTGCCTACCCTGCCTCCTGTATCCTCAGTTTGAGAAACAGAACAGCCTCAAGTGCCCCACCTGGATCTGTGGTTGGCCACTCTTGATTCAGACTACCTTGGTATCTAAAGGGACGGGAATGTTGTGAATAAACATATAAGGTTTGGGTTGTATTAATTTTGCAAGGTAGTTGGAGATAGAATTCCTCTTCTCTCAACTCCCTCCCTTTTTCCTCCCAGGAAAGAAACTGGGTGCAGGTTGTGTAGATGCCAATGCAGTGTACCTTCCACCGTCTGTGAACGCAAACTGATGTCAAACTCTGTCTTCCCATCCCCAGCACCAGCACAGCAAGGCCTTGGAAGGCAATATTTTCATGCAGCTTTTCGTTACTGGATCAACTTGGTTCAAGACACGGCTGACATCACTGGAGAGCAGGTCACCCTGTGAGTCTGGTGTGCTGGGCTCTGCTCCAGAATGGTCACGCCTATCCCACTGAACACAGTGTAGCAGAAAGCTCAACTCACACTGCAGGGCATGGGACTGAGCGGAGGAGGAAAGGGAAATTTTGAAAGAGTTAAATCATCCCGAGTCATTAGGAGAGGCCTTATAAAATGTAATACCAAGCAGCTGCTTTGAAGGGAAAAATCCACCATCCTTGCGGGTCCAATCATTGGAGATGGCGTGTTATTTGCAGGGCACGTGTTGTTTGCAGAGGGATAACGAGATTTATTTCTGCTCTACAGGCTTTGTCACGTATCAGGTGTTTCAGTCAGGGAACCAGAAAGATACCTAGCAACTCTGATGAACCACCATCCAGCTTGTAGTCCAGGCAGTGAGCTTGGGGAACATTTGGCTGGAAAGAGCTGGCCCAGTTCAACTTGCAAACCCAGGTGGTGTCTGCTCTCAGGGCACACGCCACTCTCTGCCCAGCTTCTGGCAGCCGACCCAAGTGGACTCCCGGCAGGGACCAGGGGGAACCCTGGTAGTGAGATGGTTGAGAACACAGAGGAGAGAGAAACGTGGCCCTAACTACCAATCACCCCAGATCTTTGAGGCCAGGCACAGGCAAGGAGGAAGAGGTCAAAGCGGAAGGGCTCTGCTGTCTGGCAGAGGGGGCACAGGGAAAAAGGATCTCTGATCTGTACCTCTCTTCTCTGGGTAATGTCTTGCCCTGCTCTCCCTTCAAGTCCAGCCTTACAAAGTGCTTTGAGATCTTCAGCAGCAAGGAGTTGCTTATTAGGATCATCCCATTAATTACTGCGAACAAGGCTGCTTGTTTGATTTTAAACAGTCTTTCTGATTTTTGAGTAGCTGAACCCTGATGATTTTGATCTGAGGCCTTTCCTGGAGAAATTGCCGTGGGAAATCTGCTCAAGAAATACAGGTAAACCTAGTTTCATTTTTGATCAAAAAATGGATCATATTTCCAGGCAGTTCTGACAACAATTGAAGTAACCTGAACCAAACACTTTTTAAAAGTCCCTTCCCATGTGGATAGAATTACCTGTAACCCAGGTTTGCAATCTGTCTGCACAACAACCAAGGATTTTGGTGGCAGATCTACCACCGCCAACATGTCACACACCCTCAGGCTGAAAAGTGAGCCCAGCACAGCAGCAACCAGGAGAAAATTCTTCCACATTTCAGTTTATCCAGGTGAAATTAGGCAACCTAAACATCCCTCCTGCCTTTAAATGCTGGGAGTTTCTGGATGACAGCGTGTTAAAGCGACATGAGATAACCCTCCTCTGTGGAGCCAACATTAAACAGCTTTAAGAGAAGCAAAAACAGCATGAGGAGCTGGACAGGGCATGGTGACAGAGATCTAATCGCCCGAATGTTTGCTCCAAAAGTCCCCCTGCCACGCGATGACATTTCGGCACTTTCTCAGCTCTCTCCCTCCATTACCATGGCTACAGCAGCTGCCAATCAACAGGCGATTTCTTACACGGTACCACCAAACCGCCTGGGAGATGCCACAAGAGCCAGCCCCTTTGGCAGGGAGACACTTCAGGGACGCTGGGTTAGGCTTGTAGCACCAAAAAGTCCCCCTTTCTTTCTTTCTTTCCCTCCTCCTCCTTTTTTTTCTCTCTCTCTCTCTCTTCTTTTTTTTCTTTTCTTTTTTTTTCTCTTTTTTTTTTTTTTTGAAGCACAAACAATGGAGCTAAAAGGTTAGGTATCAGCCTGATAATCATGAATGACGTGTCGTTATTACACGCCACACATTCATTATCTCCCACTCCAGCCATGTCACAGGCGGCTGGAGGAGGGCAGATAACGGGGTGCCTTCATGCAGATGGCTTATTATCAGGATGTTCCAGGAGGGGCTTTAAGACAGTTAGTGATGCTGTTTGCCAGTTAAAGATTAGAGACCCCAGAGAATAATTAACAATCCCAAAACCCAGTTTTTCTGCTGGATTCTTCTGCTTTCTCCCCCCTCCCCCGTCCTCTTTAATCTATTCATTCTAGCAGGTGTAATAAAGTGATAAGGACAGGCTCCGGGGATGTTTGTTTGGCTACTACGGGTGTGTAAACCAACAATGGATGGTATTTTACTCCTGGCTTTCAATGGCTTGAATCAAGACCAAAAACTTCCCAGCCACCTTGCCCGCGCACACCTACCCACATGTGCTCCCACCTGGGCTGGCCGCTCTGCTGCGGCCGGGCTCCTTCCCCCTTCTCAAAGGAGCCCCGACGGTCCCTTCAGGCACTCGTAGCCTGCCGCCAGCATCACCCCTGCTGTGGGCTTTGACCCTGCACTGAGCTCACCTCCGGACTGGTCTTGCCCCTCTGCAACTCCCTACTTGCCCATGGGGAAGCAGAGAGGAGCTCTGGCCCCAGTGCACTGTGCTGGTTCCCTTCTTGCTTCCTAGGGTCCCTGTCACTGCAGGGGCTTCCCATGGCTCACTGCAGGTGCAGAATTGAGGAGAAAAACCCCAAGCTTTGGCTGCTCCAGGGCTAGAGCAGTCATTTACACAAGTCTTTAAC